GCCAAAGTTAAGAACGTGTGTACCTGGGAGACAGGTCTGTACCTTTCTCCAAGGATGATTTTGAGGGCTTCAATATGAGAAAGGTCAGATATTGGGGAAAGAGGAAATTTTTTTTTTTTTTTGAGGTGGAGCCTTGCTGTGTTGCTCAGGCTGGAGTGCAGTGGTACGATCTCAGCTCACTACAATCTCTGTCTCCCAGGTTCAAGCAATTCTCCTGCCTCAGCCTCCCAAGCAGCTGGGACTACAGGCACGTGACACCACGCTCAGCTAATTTTTGTATTTTTAGTAGACAGGGTTTCACCATATTGGCCAGGCTGGTCTCGAACTCCTGACCTTGTGATCCACCTGCCCTGGCCTCCCAAAGGGCTGGGACTACAGGTGTGAGCCACCACGCCTGGCCTGAAAGACGAAATTTTTTAAAGGCATGGGTAGGAAAGAGGCAAATGCATTCTTCTGAGCCTTTGATCAGCCTTTCACATGTGAGAGGGGGATAGAGGACTAGTCACTTATGCTTTCATCTAGCTTAGTGAATTTGTATCTTTACATAAGAAAAAATAAACATAGGGCAGAGGAAGCAATGAGATATGCATTTGTCTCACGTGAGCAGAGAAATGACTTTGAGTTCTGTCAAAGTCCAGCACCTGTGAAGATAAGTCATCGATTTACATTGTCAGAGTGAAATTCCACAGAACTGTTTGAGGGTACAGATTTTAGGGCACACAAGGAATTTCCTAGTGGGCAAATTGTGAGAGCCAGGCCATATCTAGCTTTTTTATCTTTGTAGTTATCTTGTTTAGGAATAAAATGGGAGGTAGGTTTGCCTGATGCAGTTCCCAGTTTGACTTTTCCCTTTGGCTTAGTGACTTTGGGGTCCTGAGATTTATTTTCCTTTCACATAGTAACCTAGAGAGAGACACTCAAGAGTATTTCCAGTTTTCATCTATGACAGTCAATGCTACCATTCACAACTTTCCCGAAAGCTCCGCAGATCCTCTCCCCACTACGGAGTTGGAAAGTTTCTTCGCAAAGGACCCACGAGATGAAATCAGCGCAAACTCTTCTAACTGCAAATCCAATGGCAGCTGCTTCCGCTTGGGCAAATTGTGATTTTTTATTTTCCCTTCATCAGTGGATTTCTCTCCCGAGGAAAGCGACAGCTCCTGGTGCCGTCCAGAAGGGATTAAAAAAACAACAACAAATAAACAAACCCAAACCAGAAAACAAACAAAAAAGCAACACGTTAACCCGGATCCCTAAGTCCCAGAAAAAGGGCCTGTGTCTTTAAGGCGCATCGGTCCTCTGGGAGTTGTAGTTTCGTGGGTCCTGGAGCGGCCCTCTTCCCACCTCCCTTCTGGATCGCAGCCCCGCTGCACTTCAGGAAAGCGCTGCCCCGGCCACCCACGCTGGCCCGTCCGGTGGCTCCGAGAGTGTCTTATGCCGGGCGGGGGCCCGGCCAGGCGGGGCGCGGAGGTGAAACTACATTTCCCAGCGTGCGCCGCGAGAGTCGCGCAGCCCCGCGTTAAAGAGCCCCCTCCGCCGAGCGCCGGGCGGCGGCAGGTACGTCAGTCCGCGAGGGTCCCCGCAGGGCCTGTGCTCCCCAGCAGCTTCCCGGTGCACCCTTACTGACTGGGAGCACCGAGTCGAGCCGCGGGCCACCCGGGTCCTGACAGGGAAGAGTCCCCGGGAGCTTCGCGGTGTCCCCGGGAGCCCACAGGGGTTTCTGCGCTCCCGCGTCCCCTTGGCCTGGGTCTTCCAAGGAGCCCCGGGACCCGGCTGGTGCGGCGGGAGCTGCGGGCGGCTGGGACCGGGAGGGATGCGGACCTCAGAGGATCCTCACCCTGAGGCAGGTGGGACTCTGGATGCCGGCGCTGCTCTGATTTTACTTTGAGGCCGCTTCTCCTGTCTCAGTTTACCCGGCCAGGGCTCAGTATTATGCACGAATCTCAATGATACGCTGTTGGGTAATTTACAACACGATTTTACTCCCATTTAACTTCTTTCGGTCTGTTATTTCAGAAGGCAGCAAATCAGAGTCCTCCGTGAGCATTTTTTTCCTCTTTAAAGTTATAAAATGTGCAGTCCCTGACCCACCTGTCTTCAAAAGGTTCATATGAAGAGTTCTTAGTACTTTATTCTATCTCTGGCTCCCCAGCCCTATGCCAGTCTTGGACAACGTGGGGGTGAGGACACTAAAAATATTTCAACTTGATCTCAGCAGATGAGGCTCTACTGAAAGTGGGTAGAGGCCGGGCGCCAAGGCTCATACCTGTAATCCCAGCTACTTGGGAGGCTGAGGCAGGAGAATCTCTTGACCTCAGTAGGTGGAGGTTGCAGTGAGCCGAGATCACGCCACTGCACTCCAACCTGGGCGACAGAGCGAGACTATGTCTCAAACAAACAAACAAACAAACAAAAAACAAACCTTAGGGCCTTAGGGCACACTTTCTCAGTACCTCTTGAGACTGTGTAACTCCAGCGAACTATTAATTAAAAACAAAACAAAACAAAACAAAAAACCGGGTGAGGTGGCTCACGCCTGTAATCCCAGCACTTTGGGAGGCCGAAGCTGGTAGATCACCTGTGGTCAGGAGTTTGAGACCATCCTGGCCAACATGGTAAAACCCCGTCTCTACTAATAATTCAAAAATTAGCTGGGCGTGTTGGTGCACGTCTGTAATCCCAGCTACTTGGGAGGCTGAGGCAGGAGAATCGCTTGAACCTAGGAGGTGGAGATTGCAGTGAGCCCAGATCACGCCATTGCACTCCAGCCTGGCGACAGAGTGAGAGTCTCTGAAAAAAACCCAAAAAAACAAAAAACGAAAAACAAGCTAGGCATGGTGGCTCACACCTATAATCCCGACCTTTGGAAGGTCAAGGCGGGAGGATTACTTGAGTCCGGGAGTTGTAGGTCAGCCTGGGCAACAAAGCAAGACCCTATCTCAACAAAAAATAAAAACTAGCAGGACTCATGCATAGTCCCAGCTACTTGGGAGGCTGGGATTGGAGGATCGCTGGAGCCTAGGAGCTTGAGGCTGCAGTGAGCTGTGATCACACCGCTGCATTCCACCCTCTGGTGACAGAGCTGGACCCTGTTTCTCCAAAACAAAACAAAACAGAAACCTAGCCTGCCTGTACTATTAAAGGAATGGCAAAAGGCAAAATTACTTTTGCGCCAACCTAATGGCTATGTTTCTGCTTTTTTTTTTT